TATATATATATAGAAAGTCAGCAATAATCACCATAACTATAATTACACCTAACTAGTAAATCTTTAGTATTATCATTGTCCAACATTTCATGTATATGACCTATAATATATATTTATAATAATTGTTCATATTTATTTAGTATAATTTATATTGTAAATAATTATTATAAATATATAATCATCACAAATAAATAATTATGAATACATAATTATAAATTATATAAATGTCGATATTAAACAAATCAGCACAGTTGAACATCCTAAGAGCCATTGGGCCATTGTTTCCTTTTGTGAACAGTGTTTAACATTGCAGCATAAAAGTAATATACTAAATGTATATTTATATTTAGTATGTAGTATATAGTATAGTATAGTTTTTATATATATGGCAAAATTGGGATGTGTGATCAGAGGACTATTCGGGGTCTTTGGACCATTCTGAGACTGTTTTTGTGGCCCCGGGGGACGACAGAGACCATGGCAGCTAAGGCCATTAGCAATTAGCATGGATATCTTATGAGGAAAAAGGTTCAGAAATGACCCACAGAGTAGGCAAAAGGAGAAAGGGAGGGAGAGGGGCTCGAGTGCTTTTTCTTGTTTCTCCTCCTGTGTGGTCGAGAGGGAGTAAGGCGATCCCAAACACACACACACACACACGCATACGGTACACACACATTGACACACGCACACAATCTCCAGGTCCCTTCACATATGCTCTTTGACATGAAGAACTGCCCTGGGAGTCCCTGTTTCATTAGTGTAATTAACTGTGAGAGAGAGAGTGCGGAAAAAGAGAGTGCGGCACTTCACATGGCTTCTATTATGATATTATTTTCTATTTGAGAAAAAAATAACTAAAGAGTATCACTGTTTAATTGATTTGTACTGGCACCAGCTAATGTGGACAAAAACAATAACAAATCTTTAAAATAAAAACATAAAAGTAAAAGACTCAATGTAAAATCACTACTGTTCAAAAGTTTGGTAAGATGTTTTTGAAATAAGTCTCGTTTGCTCACCATGGCTTTATTTATTTAAAAATAAAGTAAAAACTGTAAAAAAAAAAAAAAAAAATACTCTTCCAAATAACAGTTTTGTATTTTAATAGATTTTAAAATTCTGTGATGGTAAAGCCTTTACTCCAGGCTCAGGGTCCTTCAGAAATCATTCTAATATGCTGATTTAGTTTTTAAAAGAAGCATTTCTTATTATTATCACTGTTGAAAACAATTCAACTGTGGGCTGCTTAATATTTTGTGCTGCTTAATACTTTCATGAATACAAAGTTCACAGGAACAATTTGTTTGTCATTGCTAAATAAAAATGAATCTTTTGGACATTAGTGTGTTTTTAAAATTATTATAAAATTAAAAATGAGCGACCACCTAGCAACATATATATTATAATCTTGACAACCAAGGTTGAAAAACCAACATTTTAAGACTCATTTGCATTCTTACTGTTAATTGCAAAAACTTTTTTTAAATTAAAACAAAACAATTTTTTGCTTGACAAATATGACACTTTTATATGTAACTTAAGTGTTCTATTTTAATGCTGATGGCTCTTGGTGATACTCATGAAAATGAGTCACTTGACAAGTAGAGCATTTTTAACCAAAATCTTTTCACATTTCTGCCATCCACAAGAGCTCTTCAGCACTACAACCAGCAGCAACAGCCATCAGAAAAGAGAGAGAGAGAGCAAGCACCATAGAGAGTGTTAGAAGAGGTGGTGAGTTTCAGAAAGCAGAGAGAGAGAGAGGGAGAGAAAGCGAGGAAATGTCCGGGCATATGTGTGCTTGAGACCCACTGAGAGTGAACCAGTGCGCACCAAAGCTATCATCACTTCTTTTGCCTTTTTCTTTTGCCCCCCCTCATTGTCCTCCCGACCTGGTCCTTCCTCCGCTCGCCTCCAGGATCCGATGATCACAGGGCAGCTGAGCAAACAGCTGCTCCCTCTGCGTGCCGATATGGACGTCTGCAAGCTGCGGGATGATGACAAAGCGGCCAGCCCGGACAGCGAGCTCAACGAGGAGCCCTTGCTGCTGTCAGCTGACACAGACTCGGAGGAGAAGATGTATGGTAAGTCCAGCCTTCATCCTCCTCGTTATTGTGCGTGACACCTACGGTAATGCGCAGGGGAACTTAACACCGGCGAGAGTGTGTTTGTTTGTTTGTGTTTGCGAGATGCTGTGGTAGAAAGTGCTGGAGCCGAGCAGGTAAAAGTTGTGGTTCAGTTGTAGGTGGATCTGGGGTCATAAGATTGGAGATTGACGATATATGTGTTTCTCTTACTAGTTTTAAATGCTGAGTGACCTCAAATTATGTCTCTGTGAATGCAATATATTCATATATATTCCTTAGAGATAAGTTGGCTTTTTATAGACTGTAAAATTTCTTCTCTAAGGTTACCCTGTGCATTTCAAAATGCATTTTTGCTGCTAATCTATCAAATTTGGAAAGCTTGTGGAGGAAGTGTCCTTTTCCTGTGACGCTTGGTGGGGTGCAGCCATGCGGTATGTGGGGACCAGTTTTTTTGTTGGTGTTCATAAAGCAGAAAAATGTGACAGAATCTGGGGCAAATAGGCAACAGGAGACATATAATGTACACGCGCACACACACACTCGCACACACACTCATCTGTCATACAGGGTGACATTTCTTCACATTTGAGATCTCCTCGGCTTAGGCTGAAGATAAAATGAGAGAAAGTGAAGAGGCCTGAGGGAGAGAAATGTGATTGTTGTGACTCCACGGCCTCATGAGGAGTTCAGATCTAAGCAGACTGAATTGTATATTCTTGATGAGGAGCAGCATATACCCTGAATGTCTTTAAAAGACACTTGATGTTGTTGTAATAATAATAAAACAACAACAGTCAATATTATTATTATTATTATTATTATTTATTTTTATTATTCTTTATTTATTATTCTAATTTCTTATTAATATTATTTTTTACTTTCTAAAATAACAGCTATTTTAAAAGTTAAATTAGATGTGTGTGTGTATGTGTG